TGTCAGCTCCGGAGAAGGAGCCCGGGAGCAGTTTGTGGCGAGGCCGAGAGATGGAGGCAGCAGAGCAGCTGAGTTCCGTGGTGCGCAGCGCTCGCAGCCTGCCGCGGTTCCGCTGCTTCCCGCAGCACCGCTTGCTGCCTTTCTGCCTGAGCTCCCTTTGTGCTTCAGCATAACCCGAACGCGGGTGAGAGCGGCTGAATTGGCAGCCCCCGAGCGCTGCCCCAGCTGCTGCTGGTGGTGTTTGCCGAGCGCTGACAACAGGCGGATCACTGCCCGGGTAATGGGAGCAAGCCTGCCTCGGTGAGTTAGTTCATCGCGGGAGGGAGGAGGACACAGCAACGCTGGGCTTGTTCCAGCCCTGGGAAACCACAGCAGCTGAAAGCCTGTGCTCTAATTAACGCGGCTGCTTGATGACTCAGCAGCATCAGGATGCTCTCCAGCCGTGGCTGCACCACCATGTAAAGCCAACAGTAAAGCCTAAGCAAGGTGCTTGCTGTGGGAATAACTCATTCCTTCCCCACAGGCCCTCCGGCTCAGCCTGTTGCAGTTCACATCGGACACAGCTCCCTTCATGCTAAAACCAACATCGTGTGCACTTAGCATCGGCTCAACCCAGCTCTCACGCAGGGTCCAGCATGAAACAGAACAAGCAGTGTCAGTGTTCCCTCTCAATGAGGCAATCCAGGAACGCCTCTGGCTTTCCTCTGCAAACACTGCCTGTTTCCAGGAACCCGTGTTCTGCTGGACTGTTTGCTCCTCGTCAACACAGAGGAAATGTGTCCGGGTGCTTCAACACCTCGAGAGCAAACAGTGTGGAGTTATTAAAGCAAAAAAAGCAAACATCTTCCACTGCAATGTGGGGTTAAAGCGAGGGAAGGAAGGGACAGGCCTGTGTCCTGCAGGAAGGTGTGGAGCTCAGGAGCACCCTGACAGAGCTGAGCACGCAGCTACACCATGCTCACCGGGTTCATGTCCCTGCCCAGGGTGTCACAACCCGTGGGCACTGCCACCACAGTGCTGGAGCTGCCACTACAGGTCAGGCCCTTAATCTGTATTCCTTTCTTTCCCTGATTTTACTTAGCAGAAATTGAATCTCCGTTCCAGTTTCTTCCAATTCCATAAAGGGATATCAGTTACACTGCAAGTCCAATTTATTCCTTTCCATGTATTCATTAAATCCCAGTTAGTTCCCTCACTATTTAATGGAATTGATGGTGTAATTAAGCTACAGGCAGACATTAACAACCAGAACCATCAGGGAGACTTAGGATCCTTTACTGCTCTGTTCCCAGTGTTATACAGCCTCTAATTTCAGAACAATTACTGGAACCAGTTGGTTCAAAGCACACACTTGGCACATACAGAACACCCAGTGCCTTTTCCCGAGGGCCCTGAATCCAACTTCAGCCTCACTGCACATCCCACACACACAGTGCATCCCAAGGATGCTCTGTTCAACAATCACATCTGCTTGGGATCCCCCACTCCTTATACCCTGGTAGAGGGAAGTGTAAACCAGAGACAGCAGCCGGAGCACCCACACCTCACCATCCCTGGTGACAGAGACATCCAGCCCTGAGCAGAGACTGGAGCAGGGAAGAGCTAGCAGCACCCATGCTTCACATGCAGCTCCTTCCTGCTCCCAGAGCTGCAGCATGTTGCCTGACACCGAGCTCCCCAGAGGCTTTGCAGACCAGAGGTGAAGCTGTAATAATAACTGCTATTGCGTTCAGAGATTGCTTCCCAGTGCCTTATCTGCCCAGAGATATGAGCAGGATCTGATCATGCTGCAATTACCAGGCCTAGATTTGCACTAATTGGCTCTCTGGAGTAACCTTACCTCCGATTTGTATATAATGGGTACTCAGCAGGCTGTGATTTATAGCCCCACAGGTTAGGGGGATGCTGTAAACCCTCTCAGGGCTCCTTTCCCCACCCCTGCCAGAGGGAGGGCCAGCAGTTAGGTGGGTCCTAGGGGCACATCCTCATCACCCAGCCTGTTTGTTAATGACCTGGAGTTTGGGGATGTTTGGTCTGCATAATGGGATAATAGACGGAGCTGATGGCTTTGAAGAGGGGGTTGAATCCACCGCTCTGGTTCCCACCTCTGCCATCCTTCCCCATTGCCCAGCTCTGCCAAGAGCACTGCTTGGGAGCTGCCAAGGGGCTGGCTGTGCCATGGCAGTGCAAAGAGGCACCCATCTGCAAGAGACCCAAACCAAAACACATTATTTGAACATGAGAAATGACTCTATTGCTCCTACTACAGGAAACGAAGCAGCTTTAGCTGAGGAAATACACCTGGGGGAAAAATCAGTCTGGGCTGACTGTTAGGGATGACACAGGTAGAGAGGGAATGTTTCTTTTGAAGGCTGCTCCCCGTGTGCCCTGTCCTGCCTACATCCTCCTTCATGGCTTAGAGGGATTGGGGGGAGTGCCAGGGGAATCCCATCTCCATTAAACCCATGGCATTTGTCACTCTCAGGAGTGGTGAGGAGGAGGGTAGTTAGTGCGAACGGGGAGGCAGTGGTTATGATGTAGAGCCTTGGCCATCAGTCAAGTGTTCTTCAGTGTGGGGGCTTGCCTGTCCCTGAAGGGTAACAGTTTGGTGGGGTCATGCAAAGGCCTCTCCATCCTTCTCCAAAACCTCAGCATTCATCAGAGCCATTACAGAAATAGACCAGTGAAGTAGTTCTCAGGCCATCAGTTGCAGTAGGCACTCCTCAGCAGCAGAAGTGGTTTGCAGGGTGCCTGAACCTGGATTTCCCAGACAAGCAGCACAGCAGTCAGGATAGCATCAGGGGTATGCCCCACGTTCAGCATTTGCAGGGGGTTTGATGCATCACTCTCCAACACAGCAGGGAATGATGATGTGTTCCACAAAGATCCAGCATTCTCACTTCAGTCATTCCTGTATTGCAAAGGACAGCAGAGCTTCCCTGGTTTGGCAGACACAGGCATCCTGCTCAGCTCGGATTTCCCAGCGAGGCCAAGACCAGGCTTCCCAGGGACGTGTCCCATTTTCTGCTCCAGCAGAGCTCAGAGCCAGTGCTGCTCCGGGAAGGGATGCTCTGTACAGGTCTGTGCCCACAGCACCTCGTCCATCAGCCTTGCTCCGGGCTCCTGCTTGTTTGTGTGGTACCTGTGGGTGGATGTGGGAGTCTTTGATCATCCGGGATTACTGCGGCATTAGGAGCTTTCAAACAGGAGCAGATGCTCTGGATACAAAAGTGGGTCATGTACGGTGCTGTGCTAGGATGCTTTGATGTGCAGGGGAAAGGGGGAGGCCGGGGCAGGGTATGGAGGAGCTGGAGTGTGCTTTGCACGGTGCCGACTCCAGTGAGCCCCTGTCTGCCTGCCCTGGCTGTGCTCCATTCAGTTACTGGGAGTTTGCCTTGTGCTTGCAGGGCTGCAGGGGACAAAAGGCTTCCTACAGCAATGGAGCAGTGCCTGTCTGAAGAGATGAGGTGGGAATCTCGCCCGACCGCATCCCCAGCACGTATTCCCTCAGATGTCTTCTGCTGCTAATGAAATAATGTAGGAGACATCATTCTCCGTCACTTCCAGTTACAGTCCCCCTGTGCAGGAGCCTGCCAGCGTTCCCCTTCCTCCAGAGCTAACAAACCTCTGCTAAGAAGAAAGGCCATTAATAATAATTACTCACAAAGAAGAAAACCCCTCTCTTCTCTCTCTCTCTTTTTAATGAGCCCTAAAAAGTAAGTTTCTTAATTGAAAAGCTTTCTATTTTGGAGACAGCACCAACACTTCAGAGCCGGGCAGGCAGCTCTGGTAAGCGAAGGCAAAAGAGGGGATGCATCAGGCAGCTCCTTACGGGAGTCTGAGAGATGGACCTCAAACTCAGGGGTCACCCAGACTCCATCACCAGAATCCAAGGAACTATCAATGAGGCACTAATTGGATTGAAAGGAGGCTGCAGGTGGAAACAAAGCAGGAAATCGGCTTTGGAACAAACATCATTAGAAACAGAAGTTTGGGAAGGAAGAGGATGTCCTGAGCCTGGGAAATGAGCAAAGTGTGACACCCCCCCCCCCCCTCCATTACCACCCATGACAAGGGGTCATCGGGCCAGGGCTCCTTCTCCAGGCTGCCTCCCTTTCCCAGTCCACAGCTACTAAACTGAAGGTTTATGAGCCCCCACTGCTGGAGCACCCTCCTCCCTGATCCAAACTGCTCATTGAGATGAGCTAGGGATGCAGAGCTCACTTCCCCACCGCACACCCCCCATGCAGGTTGTCCTCCCTTCCTGCAGCATTCCCGCCTGGCAGCAGCCCAGCCCCGGGCACAGAACGCTTCCACCGAGGCTTGATCGATCACCTCTCGCATTTGGCTACTCACTGGCTGGATTAATGAGATGTGGGATCCAGGATGTGGCTCTTCCTAATGGCATCGACGTGGCCTCTGTCCCCGTGGGAAAGCGAGACCCAGAGCAGCAGCACACACAGCATCACCCTGCTCCCTGGGCACCCGGAGCTGGGAACAGTCAGAAACACCCAGAACACTTGCAGAAAGCCCAGTGGTTTGAGCCAGAGCTGCCTCAGCACCCCAAGGATTCGACCTTCCTCTCCCACCCCTTTCCACATTTCCAGTTTAAACTACCTTGTGTCCCTGTTGGATGCAGAACACCTCCAAGTCCTGCAGAGATTCCTAACCTTGACCTTTTTATGAGTCTCAGGACGGCTTTCAGCAACAGGCTGGAGGATGCTCATCCATTTCTCCGGCTTGTATATTGCACCATTATGCCATAACACATATATAATCATCAGAAGCCCAAAGCAGCAAATACTGTCATCAGCTCAGCTTGGCTGATGCATCCTTAAAGCAGCTCTGCAAATCAGACCTGAACATCGTTAGGATAAAGGGTGTAGGGAAGGAAATGGCCACAACAGTGTGTTGCAAAGTTCGTGTGGGCTCTTCTTCCCAAATTGGTTCAGAGAAATTAACAGGAAGGAAGGAAGGATCAGACACAATAATCAACCTGCTTACCTGCTCATTAGTTTAATCTCATCTTTTTTCTTCCCCTCTCCCAGCCCTGTGGTTTCTCCGAATGCGGAGTAACAAGAGAACAGCAGAGTCCTAGATGAAAGGGAGGCTGGGTCTGGCAGCACAAAGATTAAAGCAGAGTTTTTAGGACTGGTCTTTGATTATTGTGTTTTTACCTTGGCTCTGTGGTGATTATTCCTGCTCCCAACATCCCTTCTGGGGGCATCCGAGGGAGCGCGCAGCCTCTTGAGCAAGCTCCAAGGACAAACAGTGAGCGTGTTGGATATAGGATTGGCTCCAGCAGCAAAGAGGGTCCCAGACAACAGCCCCCCCCCCCCCCCCATACACCGTCTAGGTTTATGAAGGTGGGACCCTGCTGGGGCTGGTGGGAAAGCCTGGTCCAAGCACCTCCATACCAGGAGGGCTCCTCCGGCTGCTCCTGAAGCAGGATGCGGGCACAGGGCTGATGATGAGGACTGCTCCCAGCTGTCCTCCATAGGCATAACCTCAGGCAGGAAGGTGTGAGAAGAACAGATCCGAGCTCTGCTCATCTGGAGAGAGCAGAAAGAGGCTGCTTTAGCAAAATTCCCACAAGGGATGCACACCATGGCCATGCGTGTATGAAGAAATCACATTTGGAACAGCTTTTTCTTGTTAAATCGGGCTTTTCAGTCCTGCCTGAAACCAGGCTGAGCACAAACATGAGGGCTCTGGTTGTGGCGGTGAAGAATGGGAGTGAGCTGTGAGGCAGAAGCAGCTGCAGCCCCAGCAGGGAATGGGGCAGGACGGGGAGGAGAGGCTCCTACCCCAGCCTGTGCTGGGCAAAACCAAGCACCAGCAACTAATTAGCTTCTGTTTAGCCAACACCCTTGGAGCGTTTCCAAAGCCAGCGCCAGAACAAACAACGCGACAAACCCGAGCGAATTTCATTCCTAAACCAACAGACTCGCAAAGAGAAACACCCCCAGGGCATCCAGGAGCAGCTCCTGCTCCGGGCCGGGCCGGGCCGGCGCCGCAGCATCCTGCATCCTCCTGCGGAGTGCTCGGCGGCAGTGGATCGATGGAGCAGAGAGCAGGAGGCTGCGCCGGGCTCGGAACTTGATTTATGATCTCGCAGACATCTGGAGATCCGCGCCCGGGCTCTGGTGTAAGAGCTCTCGGTGAGCAGGGCCCAATTAGGTGACCCCCCACGTCTGCGATCGATCAGGAGGGAGGGTTTGCTGCTCACACAGCGCCTCCAGCAGCAGCGTTGCCGCTGGGCTGGGGAGAGCACCGTGTAAAGCGGTCTTTGGGGGTACAGGGGGGCTGCGAGGTGGATGTGCTGCACACACCACCAGTGCCAAGCCAGCATCACCCATCCGGGGGCCAGTGCAACCCTCCTACCTGGGGCAGTGGGTACCAATCCCCCTCTAGCCTCATGGAGCTGCTTCCTCTGCCTCTTGCCATGTCCCCTCCTGCTGCAGGCCGGTGGTGTGAGCCCTTCCTTCCTTCCGTGAGAAGTCCTGCACCATGAGGCTGGGAGAAAAAGGTTCATTTCTGAAGCGAGTCTTCCTCCCCCTCACTCGTTACAGAAAGGAGGGGGAAGAGCCCGGAAAGACACAGTTATTACATTAATCAGCACAGAATTCTAACTACTGCCCTTTATGCTTTACATAATAATATAAAGCTTTATTCAAAGACAACAGCCTTCTACATCAAAGATCCCCCTCTCCCAGTCTGAACTTTGCAGCCCTTTTCCTTGCAATTAATGTAGGGAGATCTAAACAAAGTTAGGGAGCAGCTTGCAGACATCCTCTGAAGCAGGGCTAGCTCTGCTCAGGGAGTGGGATCCAGCACCACAGCTCTGCTCCCTGCTGCTGTTTGGCTGGGCAGGCACAAACAGAAAGAGAAATGGCCGGAGTTGGAGTGCTCTGTGCCCCACCACCTTGGGGGAGAAGAAAGTTCATTTTCATTCTATAAACCCGGTTTTGCATTGCACACTGCACAAATACACCAGGACAGCGCTGGTGCCCTCCGTGCAAACCCAGCCTGCACAAGCACTGGGAGCTTACTGCAGGCTAGTGCCCGAGGACATATGATGAAGGGCACCCACCCCGTGTTAAGTAATGCAGCTCCAAAGCTTTGCTATGGAATTGGTCATCTCCCTTTGGAGGGGCATGTGCACAGCTCGTGGTTGCTGTGGAGGGCTGAGAGTGTGAAGGCAGCAGCAGGCCCTGCATCCAGCACACAACAGACCAGGACATCTCCACCCGGGATGAAGGCTCCTGCTCCTTCCCCTTCAGCCTGCCCCAGGCTGAGCTCTGCCTCGGCTATTCCGGGATCTCTGCAACACGCTAATTGCTGTGCTCGGCCTCCCCCGGAGCGCAAGGGGAGCCCTCCCCTAATTAGCGCCGCAGTCTGTGGCTGAGGGAAGCCAAATGGTGACTGGAGCGCGGCTGCGCTCCCTGCAAACTCCAACATATGCTGTGGAAAAACGCCGCCCAAGTCAGGCTTCAGAAGCACGGGGTGTTTAAATAACCACGGATCCCCACTGCTGTTTATTACAGAACAGAAGAGTAATAAAAGGCAAAGCTGCGGCTGCGAATCCTGCTCCCTGCCAGGGCGGGCGGAGGAGGAGCGGGAGGATGGGAGAATTCCATAGGTGTGCTCCTATGCATCCCTGCAGCTGCTGCTGCCCTCATTTTGCAACAGAAAAGAGGCCAAGGGGTTGGAATTACCCGCCCATGCTCCCGCTGTAAGACGCAATGGGAAGTTCTCATCCTGTTTTGCATCCCTAGTGCAGGGCTGAGGTGGCCCTAATGGGACCCTATGGGGAGGCTGCACTGAGGACTTGCACACGTTCTGCAGCCCGCCTGCGTTTCCGCTGGTCACTTGCGGTAGTCCAAAGCATATAAAATATTTAGTGGCTCCTAATTAGAAGTAATTACCACTTAACCCGGAGCAGAGACGTGCCCAATGTATCTACTGCTGAGCAGCCTGCACCGCAGCTCATTAAAGGGAAGGGCTCAGGGAAACAGACAAGTGCTTGTTTTAGCGAGGACCCCCCCGGATACCCGAGTGCCAACACTAGCATCCGAGGTCCACAGGCTCCACTCAAAGGCATCCACGAGCAAAGCCTCACCTCACCTCTATTTCAGTGTGATTGCTCCCTCTGTGCCCCCGAGGTTCTGCTCCAGCACACGATGTCCTTCCCCGAGCTGCAAGTGGGAAAGCAAATGGTTAATGAGATGCCCAGTTCGTTTCTCTTCTATCAGAGCTATGAAGGAGAAAACAAATGAGGTTCTTTTCCATGGGTGCTGCTTTCCTGCTCAGAAAGCCTTAGGAGTGAAAAAAAATCCTGCAGTGCCTCCTCTGCTTTGGTCTGTGCATCTCTCTGAAGGTCTCCGCTAATAAAACCAACTTAACAGCCTTTCTGCCTGGCTCCCGAGGGAAAACCCTGACCTCTTACTCGATCCACAGCCTCCGATGCAGCCCGAATGAGCAAACACGCCTTGAAGGGTGACCCGCAGGTCAGCAGCCCCTGACTGTTTTGAGCCAAGTGAATTCTGCAGAGGGAGGATTCACTCACAAACCTGAGCAGGGAGGGAAACAATTCCCCTCTGTGCCGAGAACTGAGGAGATTAAAACCAATCAGGTCCATCTCAAACTGAACCAAAAGTTTGAGATCCAGAAAATGGCAGTAAATGAGGCAGCAAAGCAGAGTCAGCAAACACAGCCCGAGAGCACCAGCTGAAGCATTTCATCTCCACAAGTGAAGAAATGCTTTGTAGCTGCTTTTCGAGTCTTTCACTTCTTTGCAATAAATGAGCTTCCTTCCCTTTATCCACATTGTTTTCAGAATTGAAAAGTACAGGTTTTAGCTGGTGGTTTAACTCCTCAGACTTTCAGACATCATTTGGCTTGGTCCCTTCCTAACAGGTCAGGGCAGTTGGGATGGACCCACATTAGCTCAAAAGGAAAATGAAACTGAAGGATGCTGAAATGGCTTTTCCCCCAAGGCTGCTGCTCTGTCCTGCACAGATTTAACGGGGATCATTTGTCCCACCCATGCTGAGCTTTGGGCAACCTCCTCCACTGCTCCCTTTTCTATCCCATTCAAGAACAGCATAATCGGGTACCTGACTGAGCTTCAAGGACTTAAACACATTTGTGCAGAGCAGACTCATTCAGACTTGTCTCTGTGCACAGCAGCTCCATGTGCTCACTGCAGCCCCAATGAGCCCAGCTCCACAGGCCCCAGGAGCAGCTCCCACAGGGCCAGTGAATGCTCCTGCTGCCATCTGGCCGTGGAGCCTCACACCCAGGTCAGGCCATGCCCTGGAGCCCCCCGGCAGCCCCAGCACTCCCAGCTCAGCCCTATGGGACACCCCCTCACATCCACTCAGCGCAGGAGCAGCTGCTGCTGACGCACCAAGGTTTGCAAGCAATGCTGGACCCAACAAACATCTGCTCTTGCCCGCTGCCAGCCATCAATCACAGCTGACAGCCGTCCCCCCATGGACACCACCATGCTTTTCACCTTATTTCTTAGAAGGGCTTTTTCACCAGTTGGGAACTCATAAATATCACTCTGCGAGCCCAGGTAGGCCTAATGATAGATGGCTGCTTCACAGACATGCCAGAGGCTTTGACCTAATTGTCACCAAAATACTTCCTGATTAACTAATAGATAAAACCCAATTAAAACTTCTGCTCTTCCCACGGTCCCTGCTGAGTACTTTTTCTCCCCATCTCAAACTCTGCCTTAAACTAGATCCAGGCTAGCCAGACCTGCTCTGGATAGATGAGGATGCTCTGCCCACCATCCTCACACAGCCTTGTCGCTCTCTTTTCTTCCTCCGCTGAATAGGCCCGCTGCACAGAAAAGCCTCTTTAGCGCGTTTGCTTTGATGTGCAATAAGTTAATTACTGTAATAGGTTCATCCTTCTCTCCCAGTATTGAATCATGTAGAACATCTGTATAAATTGTCACGGAGTTCCTCATTTTGACTCAATTTATTCTTTAAGCAGCCCTAGCAAGTGTATTTCTGCAGAAAAGCTTTTCCTCAATCCCATTCACCAGGTGAATCCATTATTTTCTGCTCTCCTGATATCCATCTTGGTCCACCTCCCAGAAGGATGGAGCTTGCTGATGCCCTGGTCTTGCAGCTGCTCAGCAGAGCAGTGATGCTGGGAGCACAGAGCTCTGCATCCCACCCTGTTCCCAGCCTGGGGAACCCTTTTCCACCAGGAAAGGAAAGGAAACCCAGTGCCTGACCTCACATGGGCATCACAAACCCCTCTGCCCAGGGACAGCATAAGCAAGGCAAAAGGACAGCACAGAAAGCATCCTGCTGTGGTCCATGAGAGCTTCACCTTGGGCACTGCAGCACCTTCTCAAAGGGCCCACAGCAGCTGAGCTGCACAGTGAGATGGAGGGACGCCCACAGTCTATTCCACCTGGGCCTCCATCTCCCAGACCTCTGCTGGGCTTGGTTCTTAACTGAAGCATTAGTGTGAGGAGGGCTTGGGATGCCCCAGTGCTTGGTAAGGTGACACATGTGCACAGGGAAGCTCAGTACCGGGGATTCACCTCCATTTTTCTTGCTGTTTCTTCCCTCTATTTTTCTCTTCCCTGTTTTTCTTAAAATAACCTCCAGGTAATGCATTCAGCCCCGCCGGGCTGCTTTATATCACTCACAGCATTTGCCAGTTGACTCTTTCCTGCTGAGATCAAGTCTCTTATCAGGGATTAAGGCTGTAGTTCAGGAGCGCAGCTATGAAGTGTGCCATCAGAGCAGGCAGTGGGATGAGCCAGCACGGCTCACCGGTGCTGCGGGACCCAGAGCAGCCCAGCAGGAGCAGGGATGTCGCAGCATGAGATGGTGGCTCTGTAACACAGCCCCCTGTGAGCAGGGGGAACCAAGCTGAGCAGAGCTGAGTGCATCTCTGAGGATACAGGAGAAAAGATTTGTTGGGTGCACTGTGACCAAAAGGAAACACCCTGGGGATACAGGTCCAGCTTTCAGGCTGGAAGATGTTTACTCCATGTTTAACATAGGAAAAGTCTAGTGACTGCCCCTGACTGAGCCACATCTGCCTGCAGAGGTGGAGGAGCAGGGCTGAGCTCCAGCCTCAGGTAGGTGTTATTTCCAATGGAAATAATGGAAACAAGAAGGCTGAAAACAGCAGGATGAGTCAGTCTGTGCTGCAGAGAAGAGGAGGAAGAGCTTTCCTTGGGGGAATATTTGGTTCAGAAGGAGCAGACCTGCATCCAGTGCCCAGAGAACTCCCATTGCCACTGCCCCACAGCCATCAAGGCACACACCAACCTCCTGGGGTGCCCCCAGCACCACTCCAAGCAAGGAGCAGGAAGCCCCCAGCACACTGTGAAGGCAGGACACCAACCTATCACATATCCCCTGTTTCCTGCTCTAGATCCAGCTCCACAGGCAGGATCAGCTTGAGCTCATCGCGGCTGCAGTGACCTCTTAGAGCAGCTTGGATGGAAGCAGCAGTTAGTGCAGAGCGGGTCTGCAGCGTGCAGGGGGTAAGAGCCATCAGCACTGGCCCCGCTGACCTCCCCGTAGGGATGCAGTGGGCTCCAGCCTTGCCCTTGGGCTGCTCCCATCATGAGATGAGCACCAGCTCTACAGCAGAGCCCTTCACCACCAAGGAACTGGTTTAGCTCACCAGCAGCACACCGCTGCCCGAGCCCGGCACGGCAGAAGGGGCCATCAAGGCTGTTTGCTGCTTTACACAGGCTATCATGTGCTGTGCCACAGCGGGGGACTGCAAATGACTTTATAGTTATTGTTCCTCAAATTGGACACCCCCTTGGAGCTTAGATAATATGAGATGAAACAGCCTGCGGGAGGCTGCAGTCAAGTGGAACAGTGATGGAGGCTTTCCCCCCCTTTCCAAGAAGAAACACTCCACCTATTTACTTCTCCCCCGGCCCTCCTCCTCCTCCCTGTCAGGATGCTGAGCCCTGGCAGTGACAAGGGTGAGCTGGGGTGTAATCGCTGAGCAAACTGAGCTGCCTGAACCCTGTGCGGGTGAATGGATTCTGCACGCCAGGATTTGGACATACAGCTTTGACAGCGAGCCCCGAGGAGGAATGGGAAGGGACAGAGGATGCTGCGGTTCCTTACTCCTCTTCCTACCCACGCGGGGCTTGAAGGGAACATTATTACTGGCAAAGCAGAAATCTCACCTCCTGTCATTTGGCTCCGCAGAGCCAGTGTAACCACATTGAAGCAGAGATGCTGCTGGAGGGAGTGGGAGTAGAGAGGAGGCTTTGAGGTGAGGGAGCGCAGGAAGAACCAGAGATAATGAGGGACTGGGAGAAGGAGGATGTCAGGGCTCACAGCGCAGCTCGTTATGGAGGAAGGGGGAATCGGGGGCCTGGAAAAGAAAGGGAAGAGCATCCAAAGTGCAGCAGCCTCGGAGCGGGGAGGAGAAGCTGACCCTGGGGAGGAAGGACCTGGCTGAAAACGAGAGCCTGGGAAGCCGAGCCGGGAGCGCTCCGCCGCCGCGTTCTGTTTGCCTTTCCCCACAGCAGATCTGGTGATTTAAATTAGGTCTCGATTCTTGTTTAAATTATAGTTTACTGTTCTGCGCCCCGCTCAGAAGTGAATTACCTTAAGCAGCAGTATTAATAACACGGTTATAATTAAGCTTCATTACTGTAGGCAGTTTGCTGAAACAAATTGCTTCTTCATTATTATTATGGCACCTTTGGTAAAAAGACATTTCCCCAGAATGCGACCTTGATGCTTTATATAGCAGAAGCTGGGAGATGATAGAGATGTAAGGATGAATTAGCATCTTTTACCTTCTATATCAAGCTCATTAAAAGGAAAGCGACTCAAGTCAAAACCAAGCAGCCTTGATGGAAATTTTAACCTAAGCGAAATGGATAATGAATAGGTTTGAACTTTTCCTGACATCTTTATAGCGGCGCTTTATTTGTATTACACTTCTGCTAAAACATACATAAATAAAGCATGGCAGGGAGGAGGATGGACAGGAGATGGGGCACTGACCTGCCAGCACGGGCACCCCCGTGTCAGCAGCTTCACATCCAGCACGATGCAATTGCATCCCTTCAGCAAAAGAGCACTATGCTGATTAGTGAAACGTCCTAATCCTGCAGGAAGTGGTGCCATTCCTGGCCACAATGTGGGGTTTCATGAGCTCCCCTTGTCCATCCACATCCAACGTGAACCACAATGCATTTCAAAGAAGCATTCAGCCCCAAAACGTCCCCCCCAAACTCACAGGGCCTAAGGGTGCTCAGCATCCTGAAGTGATCCTAGCTTAGGGCATCTCCAGCAGGACGAGTTACTGAGCAGGCCTGGAGGGAAGCTGCACAGACTCACAGTCACTCACTGCAGCATCACTAAGTGCAGCCACTCTTGGAAGGAGGACCCTCGCTTGGCCTCTCCTTCTGTGCCATCCACGATACCTGGCAGCGGTTGCCAGCAGCAGATAATTAGTCCTCAATTATGATCATTAACATTTTCACCTACACCACCTGCAAATACTGTGGCAAATACTGTTTGGAAGAGCTGCCCCAGGACAGGGACCAGGAAAGCTTTAACCTATTGATTGCTGCAAACGACCCTGGCTCCATGGCATAGGGCTGCCAGGGATGAGGGATCTGGGAGAAGGGACAGCGGCTACATTGCTGCAGGAGCCTCGAGCAAGCATCCCCATGAGCAGCAGAAGTAGCACCAAAGGAATAAGTTGCAGTGATTCTGACACACACCAGGCTAAAAAGAGAGAAAACAGCACACATACCTTATAGGAGCCTCCTGCTTTCCAAACAGGCCTTGAGAGCACCACCAGACCCATCTCTGCTGGCAGAGGTGCCCCTCTGTGTGCTTTCTGCCTCCAGGACATGGGTGAGCCCTGCAGAAAGCACCCCTGCTACTCTCAGCTCACCCATCTCCTGTTAGGAGCAGGCTGCCCTGGGCCGCACCATCTTAAAGGCTCCCCGTAATGGGCAGCAGCTGCTGCTCCCCACCAGGTGCTCTCTCTGAGCTTCATCTCCAAACAAGCTGGGAGCCCATCCCTTGCCTTACACCCGGGGGTGTTCCTGTACCCCATGTACCACAGCTCCTGCATCCTGCATGCGGAGAGGCTGTAACTGCACTGACGCAAAGCACCCCCTCATCCCACAGACCTCTCCATCCCAGCTCCCTCACTACAGCATCACTGCCTTGGTCACAGCAGCAGCTCTGGGGACAGCGGCACTGGGAAACTAACCCAGCAAAGCGGAGAGTCCCGCTTTAACGACCCTTCAAGCCCTCATCATTCGCCTGCACGGCTGCACCAGCGCCCCGTGAATGACTGCAGAGCGCAATTAAACCTCATCCTCAAAGGTCACCGAGAAAAATATTTCTCCCCGTTGTTAAACGGGGCATTTGCTGGGTCTCGCTGTGACCTTTTGCATGACAGGATTTAACGCTGCCTCTGTTGAGGCTCTGAGCTTGCCCGAGCCCTGTGCCTGCATGCACAGGGGTGCACTGTGCTCCAGCCCTCCATCCAGGGCAGAAGCAAAGGCAGCATCACGTTAAAGGGGACCAGATCCCGCTCCCCCAGCCCTGGGGTCTGTGCATGGATGTTACACTTTCACTGCTCATGGAACACATCCCTAACACAGGGGGGATTCCGTCCCAGCCCTGGAGCTGTGAGGGATCAACTGATGTGGTGCTGATGCGCGGATTCCTCCAACCCCCCTGTACATTGGTCAACCCTCTGCATCAGTGCCAACTGCTCCCTAATCCCAAAACCGTCTCTCCAGGATTTCCTGGGGTGTTCAGCTCTGCAAGCTGCTGGTTCATTCTTAGATAAGAAGTTCTCCTTCTAAATGTGGATGGGAAGGTCTCCCCGCTCAGCACATGCGTGCCTCCGCGTGTGTTTGTACACACACTCATTAAACAAATGCTAGCTATCAATTTCTCTGAGTGCTTATTCTGATAATAGCTATATTTATCATTTAGCATCTCTGGAAGCAGTTCAAGTCTAAAATCTATGATGGGTATTATGATATTTAATAACAGTGGTTTATTTTTAAATGCAATAAAAAATAAAGAGCGGGAGGGTTGTGGAAGCCCCCTCCTGGGCTCTGAATCCATCTCTGTCACTGCCACGCTGCGTGACCTTGGAGAGGTCGCCTATTCTTGCCATGCTGGAGCTTCCTGATGGTAAGATGGGGATAATCATGCGATCGGCAGCCCGGGGCTGTTGTGATGCCTCCTTCCTAATTAATGTTGATTGAGCCATTTCAGCTCCCCTGATGGAAGAGGCGAGCTCTTGTTGGTGTTTCATTCGAGGGCAGCTGGACCCCTGTGCAGCCCCCTGGCCGCAGGTTGCGAGGAAGCACGATGGGATGGGTCAGCATCCCTGGGTGGCACTGGGAGAAGGAATGCGCTAGCAATGCGTATCCCTGTGTTCACACCCAGCCCTTCCCGTATATGCTCTTATGTGAGAGCATTGTCCTTAAGTCTTACACCAGCCAGGAAGTCCCCTGGACCACCCTAGGAGTGTTTTATGATAAGGCAGCGGTGCCGTCCTGCATCCCATGCTGGGCCATGATGGAGCTGGAGGCCATGTGCCAGCACCACTCACCAAAAACCCACTCTGTGCCACAATAACCTCGGTGGCATCCCGCTAGGAAGAAGAAAAAGCCTCATGCAAAGGTTGCATGGGACACTCGGGAGGAAGGGCTGCCCCATGGACACCTCCCTGCTCCTTGTCACTCTGGCCCATGGCAGGACCACCCTCCTGCACCACAACGTACGAGTTCATCAGGCGGTCACTATCATCGGCTTATTGTTCACAATAACAACCCCTTCCTCCCGAGGCATCAGGCTATTGCCCCCATTCCCTGCCCCTGCAGAGCTGGTCCAGCGGCCTTACCCCTTCCCACTGTGGAGTGGACAAACAATCTGCATCCCTTAATTAAATTTACAGCGATCTGCACCGAAGGTGGCCTGTAAGGGATGGTGTGTACACGGCCTTAAAGCAAATCTCCACTGGTGATGAAGGAGCCTATTTCAGTTAAGCAAATTATGAGGAGGCGGGTGATGTCCTCGGTATAATAATTCCATGTGAATTATTTATATGGAATCTGCAATTACACTGAGCAAAACAGTGCATAAAGCACACTTAATTATCCAGCCACCTGTTAGGAGCAGCCGATGGCAGCATCCCCAGTGCATTACCTGCTGCCAGTGCTGGAGCAGGGAGCGGGATCCCATGGGAAGAGCCCGGACCCGAGCGGGAGCCCTGACCGCAGGCAGCAGCGGGAGCACGCAGGGGTTTGCTCAGGTTTGGTCCTTTTCAGGTCAACTTCCACTGTCTGTTTGGCTCCTGAGCAAGGTCCTGGTTCTTGTTTGAACAGGAGTGTTTGTTCGCTTTAGCTACCTCCTAACAGAGAGTTTTAAATGGAAAGGATCACTTGTCTCCATCCATCCCTTGGGGATTTCACAGCATGAGCACACTCCCTGCAGCAGGTATCCAAGGCAGTGCCCCAAAGAAGGAAAACCCCTTCTCCTCCTGCCCCTAAGTCCTCACACCCAGTGGCAGCTCGATAGTTTTGGCCCATCAGAGGATGGACCAGCCCTCAGCATTTAATGGGAAAGAAATGAGTGCTTTTTCTTTAAAGATTTACCATGTATAAATGGATGAGGGTATTAAAGGCAACAATTAACTTTATTGGAAACTTTATATTCTCCAGCCTCATTAGAACTGCCAACAAGATCTATTATTAGCATTACTATGCAGATAATTTAATAAAAAGGGTATTTAAAGTGGATACTTTTGCACTGGAATCAAATAGCTTTTCTTCCCTGTTCTTTCCGCCTCTCCCTTTCACCCTACGCAGCATCACATAGGGAATGAAACCTGAGGTCTGTTGTGCCTCATGTCCCAGACTCCCCCCAAGCTCACCAAGCCCTGCAGAGAAAGGGACAGCACCAGGAGGCTGGGGTCCTGGCCCAGTCCTGCCCTCACTGTTTTCTGTAGGGATAGGAATCAAGGGGAGAAGTCCTCCTGGCTCACCATGGTTCTGCCCAGAGGGAATGCTGCTGCACTGCTAGGGGAGACCAGCTCCCACCTCCTGATGATGCCTCTTTTGTAAGACATTCCTCACTCATGACGTCTGCTCCTCTTGCAGGCCTCCCAGTTTCAGTGGTGTCATCCCAGAGCTTCGCTTTCACTGGATCCCTTCCAGCAACGGGTAGCAGCAGGAGAAAAAGGCAGCCTTTAAAGAATAAAGCCAGGAAAGGTTTCCTTTGGCGGCACAGGTGCCAGGATTCGTTCTTCTCCCTCTATGGCTCTGCTTTGAGCCATGATTGTAACCACAAAGTCAAAACTCAAAGCAGAAGTTGGCTGAGGCTCCAGCTCACCCCTGCCCTGCAGTGGGAAGGGGAGGGCAGCTGGTGGGGAGTAGAAAGCACCCAGCCAGAGACCCAGAGACACTGATGAGGCTGGAAACGGGAACGCTGCGGCCAAATCCCATCAGCCACTGGTGAGCAGCAGTATTCAGCTGGCGCCAGTCCCTGGCTCTACACTGAGCTGTGCGAGAGGTGCCTGGGGACCGGGACATGGGCTCTGCCACCGTAAAAAAGAATCTGTTTAATCTGTGGGCTTCAATTTTAACCAGCTGGAGCAGAGCTGCTCTCCCTCACTCTGCCGCACTGTTCACATCCTGCTCTGCAGGAGTCCCCAAGGGGACTCCAATACCACTGAAATGAGCTCATCTCTCCTCCCTTTCCTAATATTTCTCCAGTGCAGAGCAGGGGCAGGACAGCTGTGCCTCGGGCCGGCTTCCACTCATCCCTATGGTGCCCTTGGGACACAGGCAGCATCCTCCATCCCTGCGGTAACCCAGCCCTGGGACCCCCCAGGACAGTGCAATACGGAGCAGCACTCCCTGCTCAGGCAGACCCAGGACAAGCAGTTTGGTTCTCTGTGCTGAGGCAGGATGCAGCAGTGATGGTCGCTATCCCAGTGCGGCTCCAGCTCCCAGCCTCCGGCGCCTGGGCCCTTTCCATCACGTTTATTACACCCTGCAGTGTAATTAACAGAGAGGAGTCAAAGGACCCGAAAGCAGTGATTGTAATAAATAATCACTTGGCGACTGCGGACTTAATATTCCACCAGAGTCTCCTCCTGGCCTCCAGCTGGAATGGCAGAGAGAAGGGAAGAGTAATGAAGCCTGGCAGCGTGACCTGCGGAGGCCTGGCTGCTGGAGAACAGCAGCATCCTGCAAGTGCTTCCTGCCTGCTCCCACTTCTCCCCGCAGACTTTAGAGCAACAGCAAAGCCATTTTTGGTGGCTCTTTGAGGGGATTGAGGGAAGCTCAGGAAACTGAAACGCTGTAAAACTCAGCGTGTGACAGCTCGTCTTTTCCAAAGAGAACAAGACCAGCACATCTCGGACTGCCACAGCTCTCTGCTCCTTGCGCCAGCCTGCAGCTCCCAGCAAACCAGGGTCCCAATATCACATCCAGGAAAACATCACACATCAGAGACAAAAGAGCATTCAGAGGTGCTTAGGACACACAGACTGAGAGGTCTTCATCCTGCTGCCTCCTCCTCCTCCAAGGGAGGGTGGCAGAGATGCTCCAGGTGCTACATCCCCACTTCACCCCACGCTCCCCACAAGGTCCGGAGGCTGCAGTGGGACACTGTGCAAGCCCCATGCAGTGGAGAGCTTGTCTGCGTTGCTCATTCATTAGCTCCACACATCTCTGCTAATTAGAAATCTCAGCTGAGATTTGCACTTTTATGAATAGCTTGCACTGGAAACCTTTATAAAAGCCCCGTACATGTTAATGCCATCTGATCTCAGCCATGCCGGGTACCATACGGTACTGTTGGCATGAAGCAACAACGCTCTAACTTGTCAGCTCCACCGGAGAATACCCTCCTGATGTTGGACGTTTATCTTCTGAGTTGGAGATTACAATGTGCC